TACACCCATTCTATCACCCACCCAGACATGAAAGAGGGATGGTCACAGTTCAAAGACACATTGAGGAGTGGGGGGGGGCTGAGATTAAGAAGCATAACCTGGAGATTGTGGCTCGGGAGCAGGTGTGGCTTGGGAAGAGTTCAGAGGACCAAGCAGAGAGGCATGGAGGGCCTTGCTTTAGGAATACCAAGAAGAAAGTGAAGCTTCTGGGGAACAACAGGGTTGTTTCCCTTAAACCCTGCTCATGAGCTTTCTGCAGACCTCTGGATAGCCACTGTGGGAACAGAGTGCTACTGTATGTATTTACACTGGCCCACTGTCAACAGTGTTCCCAGAATCAAAGGGTGCTATGCAGTTAGTGTCCTGCCACTTTTGGAATGAACCTGTCTGCAGCACAGGGAGGGAAGCAATTCAGTGAGTCTCTGGACCAATTTTGTTTTTTGTTTTTATAATAATTTTTATTGAGTTTACATTATTTTTACCATAATTACAATCCCTTAAAATCATAACATCACCTATAATCTTGCTCAAACTGAGCCTCGACTTCCCCCCTCCCATTACTTGGCTTTCATAAATATTCACTTACAACTTAGCATTTCTATATCAACCTATTTACCTTCTTTCTTGCTTATAAAATTTACCTTATTAATTGTAAAGAGATTCCAAAAATTAGCATTACAAAATATTTTAACTCAAACCTGCAAACATTTTCAAAGGTTTACAATGTTCTCTCATATATTGTATAAATTTACTCCCCTCTCTGGACCAATTTTGGGGAGGACGGGGTGTCCATGCTAGCTGGGGCAGGCGGAAGAAGAATTACCCCAAATAACTCTTCCTTCTCATATATGCCTTGTGTCATTACTCTTGCTATTATGGTGACTGCTACTGGTGCTACTGGCCAGCCAACCAGTCACTGCCCTGTCCTCTCCCCATCCAACAGCTGTTCCCTGGACCTCTAGGAGTACCACCAGTGTATTGGAGGGACAGCATTATTCCTAAAGAACTGTCTTGTCTGTGCCTTCGTCTGAAGAAGGGTCCTTCCTCAAAGGAACAAACTGTGGTTGATGTGGTCCTGGAGAGCCCCTTAGGCTGGTATTCACCGACCAGATGAATGGACTGCAGATGTTTTGGACTGCAGCTCTGATCAGCCCCCATCACAGCCCATGTTGGTTGGTTGTTGATGATAGTTGCAGTCCAACAGTATCCGGAGGGCACCCAGACTGGGGAAGGCTATATTAAGGGTCTGGGGCAGCCTTTGCCGACCCAATGGCCTCAAGTTGTTGTAGATTACAGCTCCCATCAGCCCCAGCTAGCTAATTGGGATAATTGGGGCTGTAGTCTAAAACACCAGGAAGGTCCCAGATTGCCAAAGGCTGGCTTAGGCCTTTAAAAGTCAACAGCTACACTTTAAAATTGAGCCTAGACATGAACTAGTAAGAGATGTTGTTGATGTAGTATTAGTATAATCTGTTCTGGTAGTCTTGCTCATGCCTGAATTCTGGACAAATACATTTAGAACCAGAGAGCAGTTACAGAGTTTTCTGTAGGGTATTTTGGAACAACATTTCTTTTCCAATCCTTTCATTGCTATTTTTCAAAATAGAATCAATGTGAATTAATATACCCATGACTGACGCTTGCTGATCAAACAATAATCATGCTTCCTTTTCTTTTCTTTTCTTTTCTTTTAAAACCAAACAAACACTGAAGTTCCTTTTTTATTTGAAAGTGTCTTTTCTGGTGTAATGAAATGCGTACTTATATGTTCTCATCACAGAAGCCATTTATATTCTCCAGTGTGCATGCAGCTAATGAATTGAAATGAGAGAAGAAATGACAAACCTTAGTCTCAAGAAAGGGTCAACACCTTTTCAAGCAAAGGTCCTCCAGTCATTTGAGTGGAAATGTTAATTGGCTTACTGCAGTTGAAATTAGCTCTACCAGATGTTGGGATGGGATGGCATAAAACAGAGAGGGAAAGAAACTGTTCAGTGAGTAATGGCTGGCAGTAAAGAAGAGGGGTTGTGATTTTGTGTGCAACTGAGTTGCTTCAATCCCATTGATATCAATGGAGCTTTAGCAACATTGTACATGGCCTATCAACCTCTGATTTGTGATAGATGAATATGTGGATTTTGATCTTTCTTCATATCTTATTTTCCCAATCTTAAATTTAGCTTGGCTAATTTCTGCATTGTTTTGGTTTTCTCCGTTATAAAGGCTGCATGGAAATCTGCATGCATGTTCATGCACATTGTCCCTACTTTATACACACTTTTGTAAGTAGTAATTTCAATCAAATCAATGTATTGGATGCACACTATTTTCACCAACATTGGCATTTTTATGCACCATTTCATTTAATATATGCATTTTGGTTGGAGAACTGCATTCCAAATTTTGGAGAAGTGCTAATTTTGAAGGCTAGCTGCATTATGGGTTGGGTATTGTGTATATTAGTTCAGGGACCGAAAATTGGATAGGTTTCATTAAAATGTGAACCAGATACATTTCCCCCTTTCATTTCTCCCTCTAAGAAATACTGTCAGTGGTCCTTGACTTAAGCATAGTGCTTGATGGGACCAAACAGCCACCTGGTAATTCAGCATTCTGTTTCCATGAATCTCCCATCTCAGGAGAGACCACTGGTCCATCTAGCTCAGTCTTGTCTACACTGACTGGCAGTGACTTCCTAGGGTTTCAGATGGGGAGTCTCTTCCAGCTCAACCTGCTATTCCATGGATTGAACAAAGCAGATGCTCTACTGCTGAACCACGGGTCTTTCCCTGTAAAATAATGCATTTAACAGTTGCTCCATCACTGAACTATGTCCCTTCTCCTATCCTCCAAAGAAGCCCACAGTCAGGGCAATAGCTCTCTATAGTTGTAGTCCCCTAGGAACTGGTATTCCATGACATATTGTGCCTGAACAACATAGGCTCTGTTTTGCCACTATAGATTTGGAGTGATCTAGCAGAGCTCTTGTCTTCTTACAGTTTACCCAACTGTAGTCCTGCAGTGGTGCAGGTCTGCAAGAATTGAGACTTCTCATATTCATCTGTTTCATCTCTTTGCCCTGTGAAAATAGAACTTGTGCGTCATAGTCTCCTCTGTTCCTGAATGTCAGCTATGCTAGGCCACCCACCCATACACATTAATAATTGTGCTACCTGTACATCTTCCCTGATGTGTTGAGAGAAAGAAATAATCTTTTCCTCGCTCAGAACGGCTGCAAGATCCAGTATATATGTGTGTGTGTATATATATATATATATATATATATATATATTATATATATATATATATATATACATATATATAAATATATATATAGCCTATTGTTTTCTGTCAGAATAAATATTTGATTCTGAGGTTTGCAGTGTGTGCCAGGTGTGGAAAACACATTCCTTTCAAGTGGCAAACCTTGTGCTGAGAAGGTTCATTTGGGGGTAACCTGTATCTGGGAACATCTTTTGGTTACCACATGGAAAAGATGGCAGAAAGCACACTAGATGGTGCATTGTCATCTCGGGCAATCTTTAATCTGCCAGTTTTCATTTGCTTTCCTCTCCATCAGTTGAATCTTCTTGAACATCCCTCCCCACTCCCACCCCGGTAAAAAGCTGCCATCAGAACTGTCAGGTTGCCTGGCAGACATGCTGGGTTCTACTTTTTGATGGAGCCCTGTCTAGTAGAACTCAGTGAAGTCTCCTGCTGTAGCTTTTATTTCTGAACTGAAAGGTCTACATGTGTAGTGGCATAAAAATGTGGAATGCTCGCCCCAGAGAGGCTTGCCTGGCGCCTTCATTACTTATCTTTAGGTGGCAGGCACAAACTTTCTTCTTCTCTCAGGCTTTTGACTCATTATACAATCTATGGCCTTTTAAACTGGAGATGGGGGGAGAAGGGTTGTTTTTGTTCATTACTATGTTGTGTATTTTTGTGTTTTTATATTGTAAACCCACCCTGTTATCCTCAGATAAAGGATGGTATGGAAATTAAATTAAGGTAAACAGATAAATAAGAAGCCACATCAAAAATTCAGTTTCTCTCACTCTGAATTGTCTATGTCAACCTTCTCCAATGTGGTGCCCTCCCAGTGTTTTGGACCACATCTCCCATAATCTCCAGCCTACATGGCCAATGGTCAAGGATGATAGGAATGCTGGCCAAAAAAATCTGGAAAACACTAGGTTGGAGAAGGCTGGTCCACATTGACTGTGTGTGGTTTTACGGGGTTTTTTAAAAAGGCATTTCCTATCCCTACCCAAAGATGCTGATGACTGAGCCTGGGACCATCTAAATGTGAAGTATGTGGTCTGCGGCTGTGATATGTCCTGTGCATCTTCAAGACCATTTAGCTCATCTAGTCAAAACCCATCAATCTTCCATTGAAATTCTTCAAGTTATCATTGTCCTCATTAATTGACCTGCAATTCAGGGTTGCACATGCTGGGGCATGTGGCACAGAGCTTCTCTCCATCTTGTGAAGACCACATGCCCAGAACTCTGGGAGAGCACCCCCCCCCCCGTGTGTGTGGTCAAGTCTCTCTCAACACAAATAAAAATGGAATCAGAATTCGAGCTCAGTTTCTGAGCTGGGACTAAGCTCACCCATAGCTGAGGAGAGGTGCATGCTCACTAGGTTGCTGTTGTCTCCACCCCCTGATTTGCCCACTCTGCAGATTTGTTGCAGATTTCCTGTGTACAAGTTAATGCATTTATCATTTGTTGTTGTTTAGTCGTGTCCATCTCTTCGTGACCCCATGGACCAGAGCTTGCCAGGCACTCCTGTCTTCCACTGCCTCCCGCAGTTTGGTCAGACTCATGTTTGTAGCTTCGAGAACACTGTCCAACCATCTCCTCCTTTGTCGTCCCCTTCTCCTTGTGCCCTCAATCTTTCCCAATATCAGGGTCTTCCAGGGTCTTTTATCATAGAATCATTAAATTGTAGAGTTGAAGGGACGATCTAGCCCAAACCCCTGCACTGCAGGAATCTTTTACCCAATGTGGGGCTTGAATCCACAACTCTGAGATTAAGAGTCCCATGCTCTAGTGACTGAGCTAGATTTGCTTCAGTGTGATGCATCTTGCCTGTTATTTCAGGTGTGGGCACAAATGTCCACAGTATTAATTTTTGTATTTACTACCTGTCAGGGAACTGCCATCGGAGCTAGAGGCGGAGGGAAGGCTCCAGAGGGATGCCGGAGAGGGTCCCAGTAGGGAGAGAGGCAGCCCATCCGCTGGGGAAGGAAATCAGCGTAACACCAGTGGAGAAGGGGGGCAGATGGGGGAATTGGAGAGGAGGCTCCAAGACTCCTCGCCGGAGACCAGCGGAGAGAGTACGGGTACTCCGCTGCCCACACCCTCCCTGCGCAGAAGGCTTCCGTGCAGGGAGACTAGGCGGAGACTAGGCGTCAAAGAACTTTTGTGCTGGAAGAAGTTCAAGAAACGCCCACTGACGGATTCTGCCAGCGACTGAGACAGCCACGAAGCTAGAGGCTGTCTGGTCAGAAAGGGTTCAACCAGGTAACCTAGCCAGGAGTGGCGGCAACTTACGCACGAGCAACCCCTAAACCCATTACACTACCTGTTTGAACTTGTTATTTTAGGGCTCTGTAGCCTTTGGAAAACTCAAAAGCAGTTTCCAGCTTTTATGTGACAGATATGCATGCATTGTAGTGCAAAAGTCATAGGTCATGACAGGCGCGTCCTCTATTTGGAACTATTTTAGAAGTATTTGCAATACTCTTGTGAAGCATATAGAAGGACTAGTCTTCCTTGGATCCATGCCACTGAAGAATATTGATTTCTTTCCGTGTTTCTTTGCTCAATAAGGACTAAAACTTACTGCAGTAGAAGCCACTTGCTGTGGCCTGGTCCAGTCAATTTCACAGCACATGTATGAGAGTAGAAAAAGCAGCTGCAATTAGTAACTAGGTAACAGAGGGCGGGGAATCCAATGCACAAGCTTTTCTTTCAAATGTTACAAGCTCTCTTATCCTCTAATACCAAACTGCAGCTTGTTGTGATAATCCTAAAAGGGACACATTAGGGATCAGTCTAGTTGAATGGGTTTTTTTCAAAGTATGGCAAGCTTGCATGACCACTTGCCTAGCAGCCTCTTCACAGAGCCCTTTATTTAAACAAAAGCACAATTCTCATCTGCTGCTGTGTCCTTCTAGACACACTAAGCACTACATCCTTAACAGGGTATTTCTTGGTCCAGCTGGGTCACTGTCAAATAGGCAGTGTGGGGTATATTTTCTGCTTTGTATGTGACCAAATAATGCACTTCTAAATCACACCACTCCAACAACATGGGTTATTTGGGCAATATGGTGCTATAAAACTACTATGGTGTGCTTGTGAGAAGAATGTACTTGCTTTACTTATCCCCTCACTCAAGACAAACTTTCTGACAGTTTACATGTGCTTCTTTTCATCCAACTCTAATCACAAAAAAGTCATTTTGCTTGATAACAGCAGAGAGTCCAATGTGCTTCAGTCTTTTCCCTCAGAATTATTGTCTGCTTCAGAGCAAAATGCAATTTAAAACGAAAAGAGAGTCAGAATCATGGGCAGCTTTTAATTGATCAAAATATGAAATATTATCAAATGGTACCTTATTAAAACACGTCTAGTGGATGAGAGTCAGAAAGGAATATACATTTTCCGTTCTCTCCCCCTCCCCCTTTCATCTGTTCCTTTTCACTGGCAAGATAGTTTGGCTATGTTAATGCTTCTCCTGATGGAATATGCCAGACTCATGTACAGAATTGCTGCTTAGGTAGCCTTTTAATATATATGTTCCCTTTCTCTGCTTTCCGCCATATCCTTGGAGGAGCAACATAACAATTGACTGCTCTCCCCTCATTTTCATTGATGACTATCTAACTACAGTAGAATCCAAAGTGTGGAGCTGTTTTCCATCATCACCCATCATAAAATGCACAGATTTCTCTGTACAGATGCGCTTTTCACTCAGAAAAGCTGAGTGCTGGAACAAGAGCGCTCCACATAGAGAAACCTTTTTTCAGCCTGAGGGTCATGGACTGATTGGTGGGAGGAACCAGTTGGGGAACCAACAAGGGAAGGAGGTTCAGAGCCCAGGGAGTGGTAGTAGGACAACAGTGAGTGGCCACAGAGAGTAGAGGGGAAAGACTGGGAAGAGGAGGTATTGGAAGTTGAAGGGGTAACAGGGCCCAGTGAACCAGGATAGTCTGTGGCAGAGAGAAGTCCAGAATCAGAGGCAGAAGCTGAAGCAGGGGGTGGAGGGAGGCCAAGAGGCAGAGATGAGTCAGGCTGGTGAAGAGTCATAGGTGTCTCCCCTTGGGAAAAGCCCTGGAGAGAGGGGGTCTTAGACAGCTGTGGGGAGGTGGGAGCTTTCAATCTTGGGAACTAATACATGGGGCAAGACCTACCGGAGATGAACTGCTCTGCTCATTAGACCTGGCACTCTACCAAGTCTGTGGAGATAGTATTTTTGCTAATAAAGAGTTAACTCCAACTTTGAAAGGTGTGATTTACTGCCAGCTCAGTGTTTGACACTGAGGGCCACAGTTGCTTCTGCAAAGCTTCCAGGGGCTATGAGCCAGAGGCAAAAGTGAGCAAGGTACTGGATGTAAAATTTACCTTTCTATAGTAGGGAGCATCCTTGAAGTCACTCATAAATAGCTACCACCTATACTGAGCAGGCAGGCACACAGGTCACCTGGTCACAGTCCTCCCCACCAAAGTGAGCTGCATTGTATTTCTATATAAATTAAAATAACATATGCAGGTGAATTAGCATATACAAATTGTATGCAGATATGTGTCTTCTCTCTCTCTCTCTTAGTGATGCTATAAGTGACCCCCCTAGTTTGTAAATCAGCATTGGTACCTAAAAGGAACAGGGTACATTGGGAGCCCTGCAAAATTTTGCTTTCAAGCTGGGTGCAAAAAATAAATAAAAAATTGCTTAAATTACAACTAAACCAGTCTTTCTTTCTTCTACATGGTGCAGAACACTAATTTCTTCCCTACCTAGGCTGATTGCAGGTTTATCACAGGCCCCAACCTTAATAGGCTGCCAGTGAGCAATCAGCTAGAAAGGGGTGTTTGTTTCATAGCCTTTACAATATAGTGCGGTTGAAATCAGAACTGGGTGTTCTAAAGGTATTGACCTTGATGTTTACTGAAATCTTGGGGTGAGCTTTTTTTATTTGGTATAGTTAATTATATGCAACATATGCAATCATTTGCACTATGCTTTGCAACAAAGGTTGGGACACGGGTGGCACTGTGGGTTAAACCACAGAGCCTTGGGCTTGCCGATCAGAAGGTCGGCGGTTCAAATCCCCGTGGCGGAGTGAGCTCCCGTTGCTCGGTCCCTGCTCCTGCCAACCTAGCAGTTCGAAAGCACGTCAAAAGTGCAATTACACTGGTACCTCGGGTTACATACACTTCAGGTTACACACTCTGCTAGCCCAGAAATAGTGCTTCAGGTTAAGAACTTTGCTCCAGGATAAGAACAGAAATCGGGCTCTGGCAGCGCGGCAGAAGGAGGCCCCATTAGCTAAAGTGGTGCTTCAGGTTAAGAACAGTTTCAGGTTAAGAACGGACCTCCGGAACAAATTAAGTACTTAACCTGAAGTACCACTGTAGATAAATAGGTACTGCTCCGGCGGGAAGGTAAACGGCGTTTCCGTGCGCTGCTCTGGTTCGCCAGAAGCGGCTTAGTCATGCTGGCCACATGACCCGGAAGCTGTACGCCGGCTCCCTTGGCCAATAAAGCGAGATGAGAGCTGCAACCCTGGGGTCGGTCACGACTGGACCTAATGGTCAGGGGTCCCTTTACCTTTACCTTGCACCAAAGGCTATCAAGCACTTTGAAGACTTCCATGCAAATAGCCCCCTACTGGGCTTAGGGAACAAGTTGTGACCTCGCCCACAAGGGTGCCCTCAAATGAAGCACTTTTCAGCTTGTCCACAGAAAGGACTGGCAGGGAAGGGAAAGAGATGCTCAGTTTTGGGATGGAGTCCCTGGACATAGTTTTGGGGGTGAGGCTTTGCTCTTCTCAGCTACATTCTGGGTAGCACCTGTCCACAGAACTGAATGGAAACCACTGAGGACAGAGCCAGCCTATATTTGGATATAGCACTGCCTTTGCTGGTTCCAGTACTTGAGGTGCAATCTTAGGTATATTTCCTTGGAGGAAGTCCCTAAACTGGAAGCAATATAGAAATTAACTGTATATTGTTTCAGGTATTACATTTTCCCTCCCTCTTTTTTCTAAAAAGGTTATCTACCCTTAGTTTACAACATCTCAGTATTCTAGACTGCTCAAAAGCAACAGAAACAGGAATGTCAAGATTTTGCTTTACTTAGCTTTTCTCCTAGTAAAGGTATTGTACAGGGGCAGGGAGCCTGGGCCCCTCCATATGTTGCTGGACTACAACTCCCATCAGCCCCAGTCAGCATGGCCAATGGTGGCTTGCAGTCAAATAACATCTGGAGAGCCATAAGCCTCACCATCCTAGCTCTACAACATGAGATAAGCAAATGAAGAAGTGACCAGGAATAATTTGAATACCATGCCAAGGAGATTCAGGACAGGCAAAAGAGAGGGTACAGTACTTCTTCAAACAGCACAAACAATGGAGTCTAGCTACCAAAAGATTGGACAAATTTATAGTGGATAACGATATCAACAGCTGCTAATTATGATGACTGTATATTGCCTCTACTAGTTTTTGGGACTCACAGGTGGGAGATCATGAGTAATGAGAGTGCATGCTGTGCTCATTAGTAACAGGCAGAATGGTAGGGTGCCACCTGCCCTCCAATCAAGCATATTGCTGCTCCTTATCAGGAGGCAGAGGGGAATGAAGAGGGCAGTATCAAGGTCAGTGTGGTGCAAGTGGACCAGCAGAGTCAATCCTGTGGACCTGCTGGTGGCTTTGCACCGTGCCAACCCTATTGGTGCCTCGCCCTTGGTAAGCAGCAGCAATGCAAGCAACCAGAGATTTGGTGGGCAGTGGTGCACCACCTCACTGTCTGTTACAGGCACTCAAATCACATTGT